TTTTCTTGTTTTGTAAGAGATAAGAGCAACATAAATAATACGAATAATTTACAACATGCTAATTCCCTTGCTTTATGTTGTTCAAAGACCACTGTACCACTAAATAGTAGTAGGTCATACATTGTATGCTTTTATAGTTGGTACAAAGTACTAAATGAATGTTTTATGTTAAATACAGTGGACGCCATGCTTGATGAGTTAGACAGTATTGCGCAACAAACTCCAAAAAGTATATCAACATCGACGATGCATCAGCCAGTCCACCACCAGCCACAATATCATAATGTACCTCCAGTATTAGACAGCCATGGACGTACTGCATCAAGTGCAACCAAAGAACTAGATGACCTTATGGCATCTCTGTCAGACTTCAAGGTTAATGTTGGTGGTGCTTCTAATACTGACGGCCCTTCAAGAGGAAGTGGAGAATATGCTAAACCACAGAAATCTAAACAAGGAGGTAGTTTAGAATGTATTTTTACTTAGTCTTTTCTGTGCTGAWGCAAAAAATTGGCCAGACCRCTGTCCACTGAATGTCGCAAATGTGAGGGCAACTGCAGATGAGGAAGAAGATCGTTTATTAAATAAAAACACTTTGCAGTCTTACGACTGAATTGYGTGTTAAAATTTACAATATATACCAAAATAGATAAAAGATTTGATGTTAGAGCCTGAAGATTGGAAAGAGAATGAAGATTGCCAGATAAATCACTTTTATTTTATTTCTTATTTAATTCTATTCCAGGACAAACTGCCAATGTTGGTAAAGTAAGTCAACTAGACTCCATGCTAGGAACACTTCAAACAGACATGTCCAGACAAGGTGTCAGCACTACTAAGAAAGGGACATGTGCAGCGTGCAATAAACCCATTATTGGTCAAGTTTGTACAGCACTCGGACGAACATGGCACCCAGAACACTTCACTTGTGTCGCTTGTGAACTCCCTCTTGGCAATAAGAACTTCTTTGAGAGAGACGGGAAGCCTTACTGTGAAAAAGATTACCACGATACGTTTGCACCCAGATGTGCATATTGCAATGGGCCTATCCTTGATGTAAGTGTTTGGTCATATAGATTTCCATGTTTTTCCCATTTTAAACGTCTATGGTTTCTCTCATTAAGGTCTAAGTTTTTAATAATGGGATAATCAATGTCCAGCAATATGAAATATTCAGCGTTCTTAATTTGATATTTTTCTGACTCAAAAACACAATCTGGGCAATCTTGAGGGGTTTCTTCCATAATTTAGAGATCATATTATCTCATTAATTTTGTACGTGAAATGGTAGAAAACCCTTTATCTTCTATTGTTTAGCCTGAGTAGCGGCTCTTGGGGGACCGGGGAGAGCCGCTACACAGGCTATCTACTAGTATTGTTTGATAAGTACAATTTCGTTCATATTGTTTAACTCAATAGTTTGATAACACGATCTAAGTTGTCATTAGTAGAGAACTCAATGCGAATGAGATGAAAACAAACAGAAACATTTGCATTGAACTCGACACGTGTGACAACTTCCCATCTAATACATGGTTCTTTGTTCTGTTCAGTCATGTGTTACGGCGCTTGACCAAACCTGGCATCCAGAGCACTTTGTATGTGCCGAGTGTGGACAGCCATTTGGAGACACAGGCTTCCATGAACGCGATGGAAAACCTTTTTGTCGAGAAGACTACTACGCCATGTTTGCTCCTCGTTGTGGTGGTTGTGGTAAACCAATCATGGATAACTACATCTCTGCTCTTAGTGCTCATTGGCACGCTGAATGCTTCGTCTGCTTTGTAAGTCATTATTTGATTTGGTGTCCGGGTTTTTTTTTTCATTTTTCTTTCATTCTGTTTGTTTGCTATTATTCTTTCTTTTTTTATCACTATATTATGTCCATTCATTCATCCATTTGTCCATTTATTTGTTTCGTTGTTCATTATTTCACCCTTTCACTCTTTCTTGTATTTCATTTTTTCTCTATTTTTCCGTCCTCCTTCAATTCAATCCGTCTTTTTTCCTTTGTTTTCCCTTTCATTTCCCATCATTCAAACATYGTGTTTGTATCTAGGAATGCCGCCAGCCCTTTCCCGGAGGCAGCTTCTTCGACCACGATGGGCGTCCATATTGTGAGATGCATTATCACGCCAGACGAGGAACCTTGTGCTACAGCTGTCAAAAACCGATCACCGGCCGATGTATCACTGCAATGCATCGTAAGTTCCATCCCGAGCACTTTGTTTGCGCCTTCTGTCTAAAACAACTCAACAAGGGTACWTTTAAGGAGCAGCATGATAAGCCTTATTGCCATCCGTGTTTCATTAAACTATTTGGATAACGAGATTACAGACCTTGCTTTTTTAATAAACTGATCYACTAAACTAACTACAGAAAGATGKTGGCCAGGTGAAATGTAGTGACAATTCCCTTAATGTGCAATTCTCTGGTGTAAATGTTGATGATTGAATAGACTACAAGTACTATTTCCATCGAGGAGTGAAGTAGAAAAGGATACAAATGAAATGATAGCGACACTCACAGTCTTGATAATGTCAACAAGAGATAGCAATTGAATTAGGAAGACATTCGTAAAGTGATTTCCATTGGACTGTTAAATAGAATGAAGTCAAAAAACCCGTGAAATAGATATTACACTAATACACGTTACTACCTCATGGCTCTAAGTGCATTGTTTTTTGTGTATATTCGACTATCATAGTGTGATGGTTGAACTTTGTTTCACGGGTTTGGATGTCTTCTCTCTAACTATTGTTGGTGTCTAATAGTTTCCAAAACACATAACACTAGCGAATTCGAGTCTAGACACCTTAATTAATAGGCCTTTTGCATGAAACGGTCACATGGTAGAAGATCCGCCTTACTGTATGGCAAAATACCCACTGGGATGTTCAAAACAAAGAAAAGTCAAGCTTGACGGGCTGCGTTCCTTTTGTTTTTGAGGTTGTTTACATTCTTTTGCCATCCAGTATGGCGGATTTTGTACCATGTGACCGTTTCATGCAAAAGGCCTATTTCTTAGGATACTCCTAAACCGTGAAATAATAGTCAGTACCAAACATTAGCGGATTCTTTTTCTTTGTTTCATTTGAAGTATTAACACATCAACAATTAGTAAGTGTTTCACGGATTAGGTGCAACTATTTCAATTTTTTGTGTCTGTTTCTTGCACCAATTGACGTTGGCGAGATGCATCATGGGATGGACGGAAGTACTGAGTCATGTTGTTGTGTTGCTGTTTTCCGTTCGTGTTTTATGGTGTCTCAGGATGTTTTCCGAACAACACGCATTATTTAATAGTCAGTGGTACAATTCACTAAACGATTTAGAAATAATGACTCATGAAAGAAATTTGCTGACAGTATGTACCGAACGAATTGATCATTTTTACCCATTCCCATGAGATTCAAAAGATAAACGACCGGCGGCCATGTTGGAGGAATGAACAATAGATACTAATGAGAAATCCTTTGTTAAAGTTCCTCCAAGATGGCCGCTGTGACGTAACCTGCAAACGAAGAATTGCACCCGTTGAACGGAGCTCCCCAAAAAATTGGTGTAACTGTACAAGTAGCAACAATAGTAAATAAGAAAAAATACGATCGAAAAGATTATTTCCTGCATAGCTTTGTCGGAACAGTTTAATATTTTGAGTTTTGTAAAATATCTCAGTTTTTTCAACGAATATAATTAAAGAATTAAAGAAGCTTTTCAAAGATATATCAGAGAATTTCTAAAATACAGTTAAGTCTCTAAGTCGTAAACCTTATGTACCTCGATCTCACTGGCCGACTTAGCGAGGTTTATGTATATGAAGGGATTTTTAAATAAATATATTTCAATAATGGGATGGACTCAAATGTTATTTAACAGTGTTATACCTCGCATTGTGTCAGCAGTTTCCTGTGTGTTGCGACGCGTCTATRCCAGTCCTGCGCTGTTTCTACATTGAGCATTAAAGAGAGAAAAACTGAAAAGCTACCAGCAGGGGTGTCGGATATGCTCAAACCCTCCGATGTTTACGCTCTTCGGCAAAGGTTTCATAGCGGATAGCACACCCCCTGTCTTTTATTAAGATACATAAAATAAAAAGTAGTAATTACTTCTAAATAGGAAATAGGAATCAGCATAAATTCGTCCTGTTTAATTTGTTCAATTCATTCATGGATCATGAAGTGCATTTGCTCTCTGACAGTGAGACTGTAGCTTGAGGCTCGCGTCGAGATAACAAGCCGGTGCCAATTAACTAACGCGCGACGCACGATATCTTTAAGTAGATCAACGAGACGATCGAAAGTCAAGGCGAGTTACTTGACTGTTTTCTAACAAACAAACAAACTACGAACTGACAATTCTTACGTGGTCTGGTTTATATATACTTTTGACATCGTCTGTGGCATGGTAAGAAAAAGAACATATAGTCTTTTGCCATGTCATTTCGCCATATAAAAAACGCTAAAGGTTTCGGTAACAATAAGGTCTAAGCCACCTATTCACTACTACTCGAATTCTCATGAATTATTTCATATACACGACGGAAATTCTCCCTATAGAGATCCACTGCCACTTGCAGCAGGTGTTGTCGTTTACTYATAACAATACTAGWGACAAAACCGCGGGGGCAAAAAGGCTTTTTTTGTTGATTTACTTTTAATCAACAAAAACATTAAGAAATTACTGCAAATACTACTGCAAATAGTAGCCAGAAATATTAATAAAACGTGGATTTTGTTATACTGCGGGTTTTATCTGTAGTAAAGCCATTTATACCCTTGAAATAGCTTTATTTGGGATTTATTATACACAATTGTTGATTCAATGGTTTCTGTGGAGGTATAACGTAGCCTTTTATAAAATTGTGCCTAAAGCTTATTARAATGTTATATCATAAAAAAGGTGGAAAAATTAGAAAMTTTTTTTCGCTTATTAAAATTTGCTAGTGGCAACACTCCGAATGGTGTCTAGTGTATTCCATATCACAATGCTTTTGACTTTCTTTTGTGTTTATTCGACTTTTATAATTCACTTAATAACACTATCTGTTGCATTGAGGGATACCATGAAAAACATGAATATCCATGTTATTTTATTGTATAATTCAATAACATTTAGTTATACTGATGTTTTTCGAAAATAAGTCTTCAACAATTACTGTGGCCATGTTCATTTCTAGACCTGCACTTATAAGCGAAGTAAAACACTGCTATCTAAACGCTAACAAAGCTAGTAAAAGACTAAAGTGTAAATAATGATTAAACCTATTAAGATATAACACCAGTTTTAACAATAAAATGAATAATTAATTTCTGCACGAGTAAATGTTTATCCATATAACGGTTGCATTACGTACCATCCAGTAATCGCATCGCAATTGACCACTTAAAAACAACTTAATTTTGTAAAATTTACTGAAACTTATCCTTCTTATTAAAATATCTATTTATTGTTACGAATATAGAATTGTTACTATGCAATAACTGCTCACAATGGAGAAATAAGCCGCCTTTTGAAAATAGTAAGTTTTATTCAAATTCATCATCAGTGGCTTCGTCTTCATTGATCTCTTGTGGTCCTTGTGAAGTTTTCATGCAGTATACTCGGTAAGAAACCACAAATATGACGAGATACAGGCTTGCAAGAATAAGGACATGCCAAACGAAGGCAATAGCAATAAATTCGATGTTCGCCCGGCTGTTTTCCCATCGCTCAAACCCATGTAAGACAAACGCTACTTGAAAAAACCATGTTCCTTGAAGAGACGTGAGAAACGCGCGGGAAAAAGTGTGAATGAGAGCGCGGGTTGCTTTCATCTCTGCCAACAAAATAAGACAAGTAATAAAACTTGTCATGTATAGGAAAGTATGGACGCGGACGCTAATCTCTGGACGGCCGTCGAGGTGGAAGTAAAATAGCATTCCTTCCACAAAAAAGGCAAGAGCAAGAAAAAGGTGATCCACGCCTGTTGGAAGAGGTGCCACACGATAATACATCAGTAGATCTACTACTCCAGACAGTCCAAACATGCAATACATTGACGCGTGCGCATAATTATTGAGATGTTTGTCTACAAAACCGTTATGAATTAGAACCCACTGTTTTTCGTATAGCAACTCTCCAAGCACTCCAATTACACATAAACCAATTTTAGCTATTGGCTCAAAAGGGATCTTTGCGGTACGCCCTCGGTTCAGGCTAAAGACTGCTCGATGCTGAGGCAAATTAGTGGTGTTGTTTTGACGTCTTTGTAGTAGTGGCTGGCGTTGGAAGGATTTATGATACCAAAAAGTCCGACGCAAAGCTCCTATCAGCCACCAAATTGATGCCAAGAAGAACATGATTCCAGGAACTGCATGCCCGATAAAGCTTCCCATTTTGTCAAGATTTCACAAGGTTAAAGCTGTGCAAACTATTTGACAACTCAGGAGAAACAACAGCTAACCACTTTTCTCACACAAGCCACAACACACATCATTTATTCATGTAAATGTATACACATTTTTGACTATTTAAATGAGATTGTCAAAATGAGGCCATCCGTTCACTGACATTGCCCAGTCAAAAGTAGACAACAAAGTCATTTATGATTTTAGATATTTCTTGTTGAAGGCTTATAGTGCCAGAGGATATGTGATGCAGAACTCTTATTATCACCATAAAAAAAAACTATTATCAAAAATCCTTATTAATAGCTGGTTATTCCATTATTATGATTATTATTRCTGATATCGTAACCCATTGTTTTGTCGCTGCATTAGACCAACGAATGCAGATGGGAAACAGGTAAGCCAGCTGCAATATTAAAATATTTCTGTCTGCTTCAAAACAGACCGTCAATATTGAAAATATTGCAGAATGGCTTCCCGGACAAAAGGACGACAGAGTTTTTTAAGAAAGCTACTCATCACTCCTTTCAAAGACCCAGCATGCACCCATTTAGAAATTATCGGTTTTTGACTTATGATAAACTTAGCTCCCATACGTGCTGTGGGACATTATGTTCCATGCTGAAAAGGCAACGCATGTTCACATAGTTTTGAATTTATAATTTGGCACAATTTTGCATGTTTTTTGTTGTTTTGTGGATTTTTAGCCGCTACGCATTCTAGGTGATTTTGTGACGGTTTTTAGTTATTGCATGTTCAGATAAATAAATTCACCACTAGATAAATAACTCTAGCTCAAAGTTCGGGCTGCGCCCTCAGCTGCCTGCGTTATACCTACGAATGCTTCGTGCCTCAGTAATCATCTATTAAATAATCACGATTGCTGATTATTATCTCATCATTATCATCGTTGATGTCTCTTTATATATTTCATTAATCTTCCACTCTCATCATTTTTGCTATAGTCCTAATATTACAATCAATTGAAGAAATTCTGGCAGCTAACTTATATAAATATATCAACAAATAGGTTGTTAATATTTCAAATTAGAACCCTAATTAGCTAGTCATAAAACTACGGATTATGCTCAGGGGACCTTTTAATACATGTTAATTGCAAAATACTCGAATAATTTGTGATCTATTTTAGCAGAGTGAAAACGGCATGAAATTACCCATGATGCACACGATACAATGAAATTTGTTAACGTTCAGAAGTGTTGCAAATGACAGTGTATATCGATTTATTGACGAAGATTTATAACCGGCGCATCCGGCATCTTGAGTCGCAGCTTTATTTCCAAAGTTTTTTCTCGTCGAATCTTATCAGTCACTTAAAATCTGATTATTTGTAGCTATCAGTACGTTTCTGCTTTCTTTATTTACTAATATTTTTTACCTTTTTTCTAAGCTGGTATAAGAATCTAAGCAAGTGATAATTTTAAAACTGTCAAACAACAGTTGATCCATACTCAGTCTGTGATACTTCCGTGGCCAGTACTCCATGATATCGGTCGATATGAATTTTGCAAAGCGTAACGGTTAGCGTAAAAAGCACTAGCCATTCGCTCATTTTACAGATCAAGCGTTTACGTAACGGGTACCGTTCGAACAGAAATGAAATGACAATTAAACGGCAGAAAAGAACTTTCTACAGACAATATTACATCATTTATTGCAATGAATTTTATCATGCTATAGGTATTTCTATTATAAAAAAAATATATAATATAAAACTCAGGTCACGTGACTGTGTTCATTTAGTGGTCACGTGACTGTGTTGAGTTAGTGCACAGTTTTTTATATTTTAGCAGATATTTTTATATTTTCTAAGAAAAGACTTTTCAATATTTTCTAGATAATATAATTGCGTCAATCGACATTGGCAAACKTTTCAGTGTTAGACGTCAGGTAGGCTAGAAGAAGGCAGTAAGGCCATTTACATGAAAATGCATKTAGAATCGTTTTATGTTACGTGTCGACATGACGTCAAGTTATGACGTCACTCTTACGCAATGGTTGATCGCGGGCTCACAACATTACAACTTCCCTCTTTCGGTGGCCATTTTTGATTCGAAATCTTGATCGCGGTACTGTAAAAACTTCAGTCGTTTACCATCGAAAATGGCCGCTCGATCACAACGGGAAAAGGACCACACGAAAAACAAGAACCAAGTCATCCTCGCTGAGATGTTGAAGGAGGAGAGTAACAAGTACTGTTCGGATTGTGGGGCCAAAGGTACCTTCCTTCGTCTTAGCACAGTTGACCGTTTTGTTGACTTGATTTGATTAACTTTATTTAAGTTTTATACCCGATTATCTTGGTTTTACAGACGGCTGTGTTGTATTTTSCAGGTCCAAGATGGGCGTCATGGAACTTGGGAGTGTTTTTATGTATTCGTTGCGCTGGAATACATCGTAATCTAGGAGTGCATATATCTAAAGTCAAATCGGTTAATCTAGATTCTTGGACACCAGAGCAAATGACTGTAAGTAAAAAATCTTACTGTCAACACATCGATTGATTGTTATACCAATACTGAAGGTTTTTTATGTTTTAGAATATCCAAGATTGGGGAAATAGACGAGCTGGGATGTATTGGGAGTGTTTCTTACCTAAAGATTTTCATAGGCCACAAACTAATTCGTAAGTCTACAGTTTGATGTGAAATTATATTGTTTACCCATGATTTTCAACCTTTTTTGTCACTGTCAATCGTAAGCACTTGAGAAAAAAGTACCAACAAACAAAAATGAGTACAAAAAYTATTTTTCWCGTTATTTTTTCGTTACCTGTTTCCAGTTTGACATTAAGTACATGTAATTGATTTGTTTAAATAATCAAAATTTGACGAGTGCTTTAAAACAATGAGGTACACTACCTATTAATATTCTGATTTTATTCAGAAATAAGTTGAAATATCAGATTATTATATGATTCATGTCTAACATTTGACATTGTAGGTTTTTTGTTGTACAGCATTGTTTGTAACAGTGTACATAAATTGTATCAGTTTGCTCATTGTTATTATCAACCTGATTCTGTATCTGAAAAATAATGAAAGAACTCTCCTTATGAAATGAAACTGTCTTGGTTTCTGTTGCTGTTGAAAGTTATCAATGTCAAACTATCTTAAAGATTAATTTTTGGTCTTTCCATGATTTTGACTGAGCTTTTGCAATAATATTATTTAAAGATTATTGTGCTATATGTATCAAGAAAAAATCTCAGCATAAGTTTGTAAGCAATGATAGACCTCTTGCAGTTTTTAAGAACGAATCTCATAATATATTGATAAACAATGGACAAGCCATAGATGGTTTTACAAACATTTAAACAAAACCTAACCTGACAATAGAGGTTCTATACTAATAGAGCAATCAAAAAGCAGATTTTGATAGGTACTGCATTAATGGCAATGAGAGTGCTGGTAGAGTCACTTATGTGGACCCGCTTCTATTCTTGATTGGGACAGCCTCTGTATTTCTCTCCCTTGCTTTTTGGCTATTCCATTTTTCTCAAAGAAAGTAAATAGCAATCTATAATTTCTGTTGAAAGAAAACTTGTTGTCAATTCGGACATTGTCACTTCATGGGACAAGGAACCTATGTCTAATGTGTCAGTTACTTTTCTCACTCTTTAGAGGACACATTTTTTCTTTTTATCACTAGTCTTTCTTTTTTAATCTCTAAAAATCATATTCATTATAATCTTTACCACAGATCACAATGATTTCTTCACTAACATCTCTTCATGAAAATTAGTATGAAAATTACAATTAGTAAACCTCCATACAAAGGCTGTGCTTTAATACATGTACGTCAGTGTAACTTCTGAATAACATTGTTTTAAGCTTACGTTTCTGTACGAATAAATACGTGAAAGTATACTGACTGGCATGCATTAGTAGGTACATCCAACTAACCAACCATTATATTCTATAAAGGTGTGTAGTTTGTTAAATTTAATTGGTTAATTTGTTATCAACTTTGATTTTTGTCCAGTGCTGTAGAGACTTTCATCAGAAATAAATACGAACACAAGAAATATGTCAAGAAGGATGGCCTTCCTCCTAAATCAGATCTTAATGTAGCCGCTTCGGCTCCAAAGCAAGAAAAGGTATGTCARCAKCYGAGTKCTTTCAATGAAATTTGGTTTCCTGGGTAACTAAGAAATAGCATCATGACTTGAATTATATTTTGATAAAGATTATGAAACACCATTGTGACATAAATATTATCTCGTTGTCTATCGCAAATTTTTACTTGAATTATTTTAGACTTAAAAATATAATAAATTAAGCCTGATTCTACCAGATATTATTTCAAGCACTTGATTCTCAAAGTCAAAATTTTCTTTTTTTCTGGTAAATATATTTTTTGGCCATCAAAGCTTATTAAAATCTGAATACTTTCATTTAATTTGATTATATGGCCACTAAAATATCTTCAAACAAGAAGTTGTATAATAAAAAATTGTATTTTTAAACATTTAAGCACTGTATATAGGCACTTTATGTAAATGCACGTATTTAACTAAGATAACAAAGAAAAAGAAGCAGATAGAAGACCAGACACCAATTGTTATCCCTAAAATACAAGAAACAATCAACAAGGTAAATAAAGGACAACTTTATTTCTTCTGGCATTGCTACATACATAAATACATTCGCTGTATTGTCCTACTTCTTCAGAATAAGATTTAATGCATTTATATCTAGATCAAAACATTAGCACACTATTCAACTGTGGGGTTCCTGTGCTTCTTTTCTAAGTGGTTACTTTAAGCAGATCAGGAGATTTRCCATGTGTCATTAAGTAAAATAATCAATGTTTTTTACCAATTTAGACGAATACAACTGTACCAGTATCAAGACCAAAGGTAACCCAACCTCAACCATCAGCACCAGCKATTGCTCCAGTAATTCCAGCRACTTCCAAGCCAAACCCTCCATCRGCAGACCTCCTGTCCCTCGATACTCCTGCTCCTGTTGTAAATCAACAACCTGCACAGCCTGCACCACAGCCAACATCACTTGCTGATGAGGTAACTTCTATACAGATTTCTGAATGGTTAATTTGGCTTATAAGCTCTTATTGGTTTAATATCTTCTAAAGAGTGCATAGGTGTACTTGATAATTTATGTCCTTTCTGATGATGTCACCAATATACATTGAGGTAACTCTAAGTAGGGCAACCTTAAACGAATTGATGAATAGCCAATCATGTTGCAGCTTTCACTGTTATAGGTATGAGGATGGTATAATTTGATTGGTTAGTGCTCTTTTTTAAAATATCAGTGATGTCTCTCTTGAAAGATAGCAGAGCAATAACAGTGTTCAGCTGTGTCAAAGGCTCGCCTACCTTTCAAGATGGTGCTGAGAACTGTAAAACTCTTTCCATCACTGTCTGGTTTTATTGTTTTCTGATAGGTTTTTTTTCTAAGTGGATAGCCCAGTTAGAGAGTATTTATAGTAGCATGGTTAAGTGCTAAATAGTTGTGCAAAAGTTTTCATTTGACCTAATATTTTGTTCCTTTTTCATAAGCATGTAATTCTAAATGCAATTTGTTGTTCTTTTATTTTCATTTATTCATCTTCCTTATCATTGTATCAATTTGTTTTGATTTTAATTTAATTTCATTTTGCATGTTTTTGTTTAATTTTATTTGTTTAGTTGATTGATTTTGGGGCATTCCAAGGTGGACCCCAGGGTTTAAGTCAATCACCACCATCACAACCCCAGCAGGTAACACAATATCACAACTTGTATCTGCACTCATTAGGGAAAAGAATCACTATTTGTAGTGGTAAATTGCCGATTGTTTTGTGCAGGTCAATGACCTTTTGAACCGGGACTCTTTATTTTACAATGTATTAATTTTATTTTATTGATTAGTTGACCCTCTCAGCATTTCACAGGCAGTCCAGACTCATCAATGGTATTGCTATTTGATGCAAAATGATAATAAAAAATCCAAAACATTGTCTGTACATGAAATTATATAGAAACACTATTAATGAGTCTGGGTTGTTTGTGGGTATTTTTTGTGAACTTGAACTTCCCTTTTTCATTTATTTACTTGTTTTTTAGTTGGCCAGCCTTTCTCAGAATGCTGCCCCAGTTAACAATGAAGAATCACTCTTGAAAGATGATACATCCACATCTAAGTCAACAAAAGGTATTCTTTACTACTTGAATAGTATTTTGCAGTAAAGAATAATGTTTGATTGGGGTGTTACAAGTATTTGTCAATGTCTAAACATTTCCCACAATCGTGACAATTTCATTGGTTATCTCTCACTCTGAATCTTTCTAAGTCTTTGTACCTAATCAACTTTCATAATTTTAATCCAATATACAAGCGTAGTAATATGTTATTATTGTTTATTGACTGTGTTTTGTTTTGTGACACTAGACAGTATCATGGCATTGTTTGGTTCAAGCACAGGAACATCGTCCAGCAATCACCAACCTCAAATGTATGGTGTTCCAGGAGGAATGTACATCACTTCACAACAGCAACCAGCAATGCAGAAAGCACCGCACACCATGATGAATGGTCCTCACATGCACACTGGACCTTATCAACATCACATGATGCCCATGCACATGCCCCAACAACGTCTAATGCAGCACGCAACTCCACAGCAACAGCAGGCACAGGTCTGTGACAAATTCATGGATGAACTAGTGTGAACTATTGCATTTTCTTTGTTTCATATTTACATGCAAAATATGTACATTGTACTGTGCAGATATCCCTGTACTGACTCAAAATCAAAAAGTTGATTTTTTTGGTTCCACTTTTACAAGTAAAAAGTCTTACATGTATGTTCTGAAGGGTGCTAAAAGGGCAAATTTGTGGGCATTTCATCAGTCAACTTTCTAATTTCACTTTGTCATTGTTTAAACTTGTAATTTACATATAAAAAGAAACAAATTATTGATACAACAACCATACTGTTATGTGTGGTCTAAACAAGACCACAATCATCAAGTGACATATTGTTACACCAATCTTAATTGTTTGCCAAAATTGATTATATATTACCTCTAAGGATGATATTCTGTTATTCATTTCAGTTGTCACAGATTCAAAGTCAAATGCAGCAACTAAAACTCCAGAAAAATCCACAAGCACAATTTCCACAAATGCAACAGCAACCAAACCAGTTTAATATGTACAATAGTAACCAAACCATGTTAGGTCAACAGCAAGCCATGAACTTAATGACAAACCAACATATGATGCATTATCAGCAACAACAACCACAATTTGTCAGTACTGGACCAGTCTATAACGCCTCACCCATGGCTGCCATGCCGACAACTGGCCATACCTTTAATAATCAGTTATGGAAGTGATATATAGATGACACAGATAGTTTAACCATATGTACACACCATAATAACAAGGATAGGATTTTCAGTTTGGTGTTTGATTGGCAACTTGTACATACTAGTGATTTAACCAAGAAGCCTTTCTAAATTATATTTTGGGATAGCTAACAACCTTACACCACACCAAGCTTTTTCCTAAATTAATTTTAATAATCATCAAATCATCTATCATCAGAAACTTTGTGTTACATTTAACACAATAGATGCTTGATTAGTTTAAAGATTCCTTTACTTTTGAAGTAGAAAATGCTTATGGAAATTTAAGCCTTCTTCAAGGCTTGTTTTAGCTTTGGCACTCATCCTTTGTTGTTTAAACTAAAGGAAAAGCCCAGCACCACGCATGGCTGCAAATAAGTCAAAGCCAAGTAGAAAAAGTATCAATAATTCTTTTCCCAAATACTTAATACCTAGGTTTTAATAATTATCAAACAGAAAAATGTCCAATTGTATATCCCCAGATTATTACAGACTTCAAGAATTATAGAATTTATCACGCATTTGACTACAACATATTACACATTTTCTCATGGAAATGTATTTTTGTTCAAAATACAAATATTGTACAAACATTTTAACTAGTACAATTAAATATGGACATAGAAGGACATACAAGTAGAATGATGAATAATTTAGTAGGCAAAACTTCTCATAATCTTTGTATGTCTTCTTAAGGCATGTAAAAGCAACAATAGGCAATCATCTCAAGACTGTTGTAGGGAATTATGCCAAAATGACCATTTTTTATGTGTTTTGATTGTATAAAGCTACAAAGCAACTTTACTTTCAAATATTTGACTAAATTTTCTTCTTTTTTGGTCATTTTCTGCCTTTTGTAATTAAGTGTTCTTGATAAAATGGAGTTGTACGGCTGTCAGTTCCATTTACTGTGTCCAGTGTACATTCTGAGCACACTTCGTACATGTACATTTAACAAACATAAAAGTTCACACTCTTTTGCTTTGCAAACGTTATTCTTTAATACTRAAAGTGGTTGTGTACACACATTGTTTACTGTAATGACATCACTATCTAGCTCTGTAAATGTAAAATTGAACWTGCGAACCCCATGAAAGTCTTTCTTCAGGAATTAGTTGCACTGACTTTGTCRTTCTTTAGAATTTAATCAAAAAACAATCCATTCAATGAAGCTGATAAACATTTTGTGTAAAGCACAGAGAAAGCTGTCATGGGTTGTGCTCTGTGACAGTTTTTATAATGATTGTACAATATATAGTAGTGTAGGTTAGGAGTGTAGAATGGCATAAGGAAAAGAAACTGGATCACATCTTTACATCCGTTTGTTTTCCATATAAAAGGACCATTCTATACTTCTAACTTTGAATCATATTATAGGCATTAAATGTATGTGTATATTACTGGATTTGACGAATAAAAAGACAAACAACTGAATTGTGTTTGGTAAAATTCCTAGTTTGTTAGTATTAGTTAACTATAGCTATACCAACTAGTATTATTATTCCTACTCATTAATATAAAAATAGTGCGCTTTTCAAGGCTCCTAGAGTGCATTTTCTTTCTTTGAAATAAAATGTAAATAGTTTCTAAATGATAGTTCTTATTCAGTGATCATTCCAGATGTCAAGTAAAGTTTTAACAAATGATTGATTTGCTTTATATCAGCCATATTTTAAACTGTTCTGGTTGATTGAGAAGACCATTCTGCACTGGACAGTCTTAAAACATAAATAGAAAAAATGGAAAAGGTAAAAACAAGCTGTTCAATAATAATATTTTTTTCCTTAATATGTAGTGTTATTGGATTAAAGAAACATTTTCAAAATTCCAATACGATCCACAGTGTTGCTTGGCAACAAAAGGTGAATCTATAGAATGAATTGATTTTTATACAATGTAGCTTTGATCAGTGAATTCACCTTGTCTAAATTGAAAAATTAATAAAATCAGCATGAATATCAAAAGTTTATATTATCATAACCATTCCAGCTTCTTTGCTAAAATAAAAGGGTCCTCATTGACTATAGCACTACCATAAATCCTCATACTGCATACATCAGAAGATGTCCCTTTATTAATGTCCCCTCGGTCAACTAAATGAGCTATGAAAGGCATCTTACTCCCATTYGGTTTTTCAAACTTCATAYGCTTTGGTGAGCCAGTTGGAGGACGAAGGTTGCCATTCTGAAGGGGTGGAAATTGAATGCAGACATTGAAGCATTGTGAGTTGAACTCATTGACAAGCATGTTTACAGCCTTGTACACAGCAGTCTTGAAGTCTTCTGTCAAATCCCAGCATAAAACCTTYAATTCATATCCACAATATGGTGCAAGGTGGATCAGTAGCCAGGCATYGCCGATGGGTTGTGCAAGCTTCAGTACATGATGGGCCTCTACAAAGTCATCAAAATAATTCCTTCCAGGGTATTCGTCAGCATACAGTTTAGACACCTGCTTTAAACGTTCCCAATGCCCATAGTGGAACTCTTCGGCAAGACACATGTGGGCATGGCCATGGTGCTGAGAGGCACCAGCTCTTGACCTGCAGTTCCAGGAAATATTTGGGTAGACAAAGTTGGGGTGTTTTTCATGTGTGATGTCAAACCATTGCTTTGCTATTTCAAACATGTCAAATACTTTAGTCTGAAACACAACAGAAATAAGATGAAGTTGGTGTATAAACATGATGTAAATATAGATCATCAGAGACATGCTCAGAGGCTTCAAGGGGTTCCAGCTTTCAAGATAGCAGCACAAGATGACAAGTACTTTTTTGGGGACCACACACCAAACTGTCCACAAAAATCTGCTACCCTATTGATTTGGCAACTAACATGTCATATTTCAAACGAATGGAGAACCACCCCCACCACACACACACATGCCCTAATCATAACTACCAAAGCTGCAGTAGACACTGAAGGCACATTGTTTTCTTAAGTACATTTAATGAAAATTAAAGTGTAGAGAAATGCATAGTGTCATGTTTATTC